TAATTCATTTCCACTTCTATAAATACAGACTTTGAAGTTCTGCTCTACCCTTATATTGCTTTGTACTTCCCATCCGCTATCTGATGCTTCAACAAGTCCATCCATCCACACAGTCAAGCTCTTTAATTGGCAACTATCTCTGGCTCAAATTTTATTGCATGTGCGTGCCATCGAAAAATTTCAGCTTCATGTTTTGGATCCACCAAACTACAGATACTGTTGTATTATTCATAAAGAATCATGAACTAATGTATTTCCAGAGTGCCACATTCATTGTTGCACTATCAGTCAGCAGCAATCAATGTGATCGATTATACAGATTTATAGAATGTCTATGTCTAAAAGTATGATTAACTCGAACATCCAGGTACCACAACATGTAAACAAACAAAAGGCTGGAAAAACACAGCAAAACAGGTAGCATCTGGAGGAGGAGAAGTCAGCGTTTCAGGTATTACCCTTCTTCAGGAGTGGATGTGAGGGTAGGGGGAGCTGCAGATAAGGTGGCGGTGGGGGGTGGTGGGCGGTGGATGGTGGATGGTGGTACTAAAGACCATATTGGGAGCACCAGATACAGTAGACTTGATTGGAGGAGATGCAGGTGAAGCTCTGTCTCACCTGGAAGGACTGTTTCAGACCCTGGGTGGAGGTGAGGGAGGTGGTGTGTGGCGGGTGTTGCGTCTGTTACGGTTACAGGGTAGGTTGGACTGGTTGGTGGGGAGTGTGGTGCAAACTAAGGAGTGGTGAAGGGAATGGTCCTTGCGGAAGGCAGAGAGGGGAGGGGAGTGGAAGATGTTCCAGGTGGTGGGGTCTAATTGGAGTTGGCGGAAGTGTTTGATGATGATACATTGGATTTGCTGGTGGGGTGGAAAGTGAGGACAAGGGAGACCCTTTCTTTATGTTTGGAGCGGGGCGCTTAGAACTGAACGGAGGTGGTGTGGTGGAGGGCTGTATGGATGACAGGGGGCGGGGAGAAAAGATGCAACAGCCGCCCACACACCACCTCCCTCACCTCCACCACCTCCACCCAGGGCCCGAAACAGTCGTTCCAGGTGAGACAGAGCTTTACTTGCATCTCCTCCAACCTAGTCGACTGCATCTGGTGCTCCCGATGTGGTCTTCACAATGTCACTGAGACCAAACGTAGACTAAGTGACGGTTTCACCGAACATCTTCACCTGGCCCAAAACGGCTAACCTAATCCCCTGTCATCACCCATCAACTTCATCCCCCACAACGACACCACCACCCTCCCCCTCCGACATGTCTGTCCTTGGCCTCCTCCAGTGTGGCAGTGAATCAGAACGCAAATTTGAGAATCACCATCTTATCTTCCAGCTCCCTACAGCCTGGAGGACTTAACATTGAGTTCTCTAATTTCAAATAACCTTCCCACCCACCTCCCGGCTCCCTTTCCAGCCCCCAACCAAATTCATCCCTCCTATCAACTGACCAGGTTGTACCTAATACTGGTGTCCACCTATCACCACCCTCCCCTCCCCCCCCCCCCCCCCCCTCTTTATCTGCAGCTCCCCCTACCCCTATATCCAGTCCTGAAGAAGGGTAATACCTGAAACGGTGATTTCTCCTCCTCTAGATGCTGTCTGGCTTGCTGTGCATTTCCTGCTTTATGTTTGCCTTTCTTGGATTGCAGCATCTGCAGTTTTTTTGCCCTAACCACAATATGTAACATCTTAAGAGACACTGACAGTTCCTTGAACCACGGTTCTTGCTGCATCTCAAGCACACTCTCCCCAGCCACCTACTCACTCTTCTTAAAGTTCACTTGATCCAGAATAGTATTCCATTCTTTTGTCTGACTCCATGCAGAAAGCCAAAAATCTTATTCTCTTCGAGACATGAAGGATTGCAAGCTGCAAGAACTCATCGGTACCAACACCCTTAGATCTTTCTTCTCATTATGGTCATTTGACCCCATCTCTTCTTTCAATTACATCAACATGCACTATATTCATCACACTTTCCAAATTGCTCCTCTCTTAACCAGAGAGGATATATCCTTAAAGTCCACAGCTTCATTTCCTATGCCACCACTTCAAATAATTTTGAGGATTATGCTGAGCTTTTGTTTTGTCATCCTTGCTTGCGTGTATTTTTTGGCCAGAATTTTACCACTCCAGTGCCTTCAAGGTAGACTCTTTTTACCCATTACTATTATTTTCTCATATCTAGACATCTCACTTTGTCTTCTTACCTTCATCTAATCTTCTCACCAAGAACTGCCAGCATGGCATTGGCCAATTTAATTTCTCTACTTCTGGTCTATTGCCCTCTGAACTGGTTAACACTCCATTTTTTCAGTCCAAACAAAACAAAGATAGTGTTGCTTTCTGTTAAACCAAACTCTAGCGAATGATAACTCTGCAACATATTCCTCCAGCTCTCAAGGACTGTGATGCCATTAATCGGGCATCAAGCTATTGTCTTCAGTCATTGATGGTTTCCACTGAAGTTCTTCCCTCCATGGCTGTAACCACATATTTAAAGCCTGATTTAAATCAAGTATTTGATAGCCCATCTTGGTAACTGGGAATGATATTTTTACTTTTTGTGATCGATAGAGTAGGGGAAGTAGGGAGACTCTGCATTCCTCCAGCCTCAGCTGTAACAATATTATGGTCTAGCATGCATCCTTTAGCTACCAAAAATTTCACAGTGCAAAATTCAACTGATTAAACTGAGCAGGAGATTAAATGTCCAATCTTCAAATCAACTGTTCCACAGAAGTTCATAAAACTGGAACTATTTTATGACAATGCAAGTTCTTCTGCACAGATTTCATCCAAAATTTAACTGCTCCTTATAGTTACAATTATTTACACAGTATTTAATGTTTCTAATCTATCTGTATTGTAATCATTTGGCAGCTTGAAATAGTTTCTACTTTGGGGATCAATAAAATTTATAATTAGCCCATGATCTCAACTCTCATTGATATCCAGCAACTTCCATTGCAGGAATTTAACTCACATTATCACCTCAGTTTACAAAAGCAATATGTTATGCCTCACTCAGTCAGCATGTCAACAATGAAACTCACTATATCCACAGTTATCACAAAAAAAATTAAAAATTTTTAATTCACCTGTCTATTAGACCTAGGTTACCAACAAGAACAATTATTTATAATGAATAAGCAAGCTCCAGCGACAAGTAAGTAATTATAAACTATCGATATATGACTCTACTAGTTAAAACTCTAACATCCTTGTAAACCTCCTTCTACACACATTCACACAAACAGACCTATGTATACAGGAAATCAAATGTGGGTGTAATGGGTGTAATGAGACTTGGGAGGCAGTTCATGTCCCTGGCTTCACCGAGATTGTTATGTGGTTTGACAGGATGTGCTGCTTTTTGACTCTACATCTCCAGATCCTTCCACTTGCTGAAGGTAATGTGTGGTTCATTCAAATTTGTAAGTCTATGTCTCACTGGTTAAGAGATTCAACTTACAGCAAATGCTGGGGAACAAAACTAGCTCTCTTTGAGGTTAATGTGCTTTCCTCTGCAAAGAAAAGAAACAGCTATCCTCCATGCAGAGATTTAATGGCTTCTCACTATCTTGTTCTAACCGCATCCCCAGCTGTTACATTAACTGGAAGCCAAATCATAGTTGCTAGCGGGCAAAAGGTCTTTAGAGTAGTGACCAGTTGTCAATGATAAAGACCAGTTAGCTACTTGTTGCAAACTCCATTCATACACGCCCATTAGCTAGAACTTGTCTGCAAACCATCTCCTAATAAAGAAAAAAGAAACATAGAAGATAGGAGCAGAGGGAGGCCATCCAGCCCTTCAAGCCTGCTCCACCATTCTTTACAATCATGGCTGATCATCAATAGCCTCATCCTGCTTTCTCCCCATAACCTTTGATCCCATTCACCACAAGTGCCATATCTCGTCGCCTATTGAATACATTCAATGTTTTGGCATCAACTACTTCCTGTGGTGATGAATTCCACAAGCTCACCACTCTTTGGGTGAAGAAATGTCTCCTCATCTCCGTCCTAAATCGTCTACCCCAAAAATCATTTCGGAGGACTCAATCATAGAATCCCTACAGTATGGAAGCAGGTCACTGGGCTTATCCAGTCCACAATGGCCATCCAAAGAGCATCCCACCCAGACCCCCGCTCCCCCACCCTATAACATTGCATTTCCCATTAACCCACCTAGCCTGTACATCCCTGGACAGTATGGGCAACTTAGCATGGCCAATCCACCAAACCTGCACATCTTTGGACAGTGGGAGGAAACCGGAGCACCCAGAGGAAACCCATGCAGACACAGGGAGAACATGCAAACTCCACACAGACAGGTGCCCAAGAGAGGAATCGAACCCGGGTCCCTGGCACGGTGGAGCAGTAGTGCTAACCACATGGCTGAACATCAGTTTCTACTTGAATACAGAGCAGTGTAAACAGCACTTACAACAAGTATCAGGTGACTTGATTTTGGAAAATGCAGTATCCATCAACAATCTTTGGTTTTTAAAAAAAATTTTCACATTTCAGTCCACAACCAAAAATATATAAATATACAAAAGACATGGTCTTTAGAGGTAGCATTTATCCATCTGCAATTGACAGTGGTCATTTCCACAATATTACTTGAAAATCTAGTTTTTTTTTTAATGAATTGTTCCAGTGAGGGTTTGACTGGATTTCAGATAAGTAGAAATGAAATTCATAGCTTGAGGAAAATTTATTTAAACATTTGCTGACTTGCAAGACCCTACATCTCCATATCGCTCCCCAGCTCCCACAGTTTACTGAGCATCTTCATGAAAATTTGATGTTGTATTCTTGTCTATGATGAATGAGCAAAATATTTTAAAGAGTCAATATCCTGAGAAATATTTAATAATTTAGTCTGCTTGCAGCACGCATTCCTGGAACACCCTTCTGATTGGTTTCTGCATAAGGTAAAGTGTAAAAAGATTATTCTCTGAAGCAGAAAGGAAAAAAAAAACATACAATGTCATCTTCTTCTTCCTTTAGCATCTCTCCATTTTCTTTAATGTCTCCTCTTGTAGCAGAGACTGGTTTTTGTCTCTTTTTCCGATTGCCTCTAGCAACTTCTTCATTGTTGCATGTTGATGGTTCCTTTCTCAGAACAGATATCCTGAAGTAAAATAAGAATAAACGAAATCAGTAGTAAGTGAATAAGCTGAATAAAATTGCTTTCTCCCTGAATTTTAAATGATTCAGATAAATTGGAAGACTGTTAAGTGTACTGGGTGGGGTAGACTCCAGAATTCCTGCCTCCAATCCAGTGTCTGGCTGTCTTTGCTGGTGTCAGGTAAGCATGTTACACACATCATTCCCATGCTTGTTGCAACCACTGTATAAACATGTAGTCCAAACACCTCTTATAGGAAAATATAGGCCTCATAGGCCTCTCAGCAGAGTACTGAACCGTAGGGATTTAGTCCCAATTGGAAAACCGAGGGAAAAAAAATACACTTGCTCCTGAAATTCTTTTAAACAGATAAACAGAATTCATTGTTTCAGTTTCCACGGTTACAGACTATATAATAAGGTGGATAGGTTCATACTGCAGATTGATCCTGCAAAGGTAAGTTGATCACTGCATTCACCAGCATTATCTAAATGTTGAAATGCGTTAGAGTAATTTTGCTCATTGTGAAAAACGCACTTATGCATTTAAGATTTATTAAAACACTGCTTGGGAACACGAATGTCATGACCTGAATGTTGCCCAGTAAGTGACACCCACCTCCCATAAGTGAATTTAAAAAAAAGTGATTTAAATCTCCACCCCTTTCAAAGTGAAAAGATATCCTTTGGCAGCTTTCAGTTAGAGAAAAAAAAACCTGTTGCTGTAATCCCCTAACTGACAGGAACAACAGAAAGCAAGAAAAGAAATATGTGCATTTATCGAACTCATTCTGTTGCCTGAGAGAGTACATCAATAGCAATCACTGTCCACCAGTGTGCAGACATTGTCTTGCTTTGCATTCTATAGTGCTTGTATTTACATAATACTTTCAACTAAAAGTCTTTCGAGATGACACAAAAAAACATCTCCAGGAAATGGATGTCAAGCCAGGAAAAATACGGTAATGAAACTTTTTTCTAAATAAATAGGTTTTTCAGTAAGTTTTAACTGTAAAAGGGGAATCAAATAGCTGAGACAATACTGAGACAAGCAGAGAAAAAGGCCAAAGTCAGAAAAGGGATGTGTGACAGGATTTTAAAATTTCATGGAACCAAGAGTTAAGGACTGAACAAGGACAAAGGCAAAAGTTCAACAGGACTTCATGGGAGGAAGAAATTGCCTACTCCTGCTCTTAACTTCCGTGCTTCTACTTCAGGTAACAATCTAGTACACTTAATCTGAACTGCCTGTGAGACGCTTACATCCTTCCTTAAATAGGGAGACCAAGCCTGCACATAGTATGGTACATGTGAACTCACCAATCCATTGTATAGCTGAAGTATAACGTCCTTAATGTCCAATTTCTCTCGTTATAAACGATAGCATACCATTAATCTTCATGATTACATGCCCTAATTGCATACTAACATTTAGTCACTCATACAATAGAACACATAGATCCCTCTGCATTTGGCAATTCTGCTGTTATCCTCCAATTAAGTAATGCTCTGCGCTTTAATCATTTGTCCTACCAGAGCAAAAATTTCACTAGCTGTCACAGAACTAATACCTGGTTAGCCAATTTTACATTTTCAGTGGTGTCCTGCACGGCATGTTAGAGAGGGGAATAAGAGTTACAGTAGCCCTCTCACTTTCATAAGTCCTTTAGCAGGAAGGGCCAAGTTTGGTCACAACCAGCAAGGAAACGTAGGCACTGAAATATTCTAAACTGCAGATCCATTCAGTTGCATTATGGTCTCAAGCCATCAGAAGAGAGCAAAATATCACAGAGTTGCTCTGAAACTGACTGCCTCCACTTTTGAACAAAGCAGACTCATCTTCATCCTTTTCTTCACACCAAAGATCTGTCTTGTAGCAACACATCAGCTGAGTGAACAAATCTCAGTCATTCATGTGGACCAGTCCCCATGCGAATGTAGCATCAATGACAAACAAACTGGAGAATGAATGAGAGAATTCAACGTTTGAATAACAAAGAGGACATAAATATCGTTTGTTGTGCGGTGAAACCGAAGACAAAGTGAAATTTCAATGAGGGTACAAAATTGAAAAGGTACAGACCTTTGACCAGAAAACAGCATTAGTTTCATAATGAGTGCAAACTCTCTTGGTGTGCACTAAGCACGAATTAAGACAAGGCCAAGGTAAACAGGAAAACTGTGTACAACAACTGTAAAATTAAAACATTTCAAAATAGAACAACATTAGTGACCACTAAACATTAGTAAAGAAATATCCAAAAACAAACAAGTCTGATTCAAATGCGAGTAAGTGCAGTATCAAACTGCATGTAAGGACTGCAAGAAAGGAAAACATTCTACATGAAAGAGGAATAATGCACACCAAATCTTTATACAGAACAAAAAAAAGTCAACTATAATGCCATTATGTTAAAGCAGCCCTCAACAGTACCCACAAGCAAATGAAGTGAACTGAACAAACAGCCACTTTTTGAGGCACTCGGCAAGAAATACCCTTGACACCAAGATGAACATTTTTTTTTCAAACAGTCTACTACTGCATTCATTCGTCTTTGAGACCAGGAAGGTTGGATGTAGATAACTCCTGATTCACACTGAGATACTCCTCAAATTCTCTTCTTTTCATTTGTGGGATGAGTCTGTCACAGGCTGAAACAGGATTTATTGCCCATCCTGAATTACCTTTGACACATTAGTGGTGAAATGCCTTTTTGAACTGCAATAGTCCTTAGGTTATAGGTACACCCACAGCGCTGTTAGGATAGAAGGAAATTTCAATATACTGATCTATTGACAATGAAGGAACATTGATATGGTACAAAATCAGAATGGTATGTGGCTTGGGGAGGAACTGGTGGGTGGTGACATTCCCACATGTCCACTGCCCTTGTTCTTCTAGGTTGTAGAGCCCATGAATGTTGGAATTGCACTCACTGGGCAATTGGAGGCGGGAATTCTATTAAACCCCCTAACTGGTGTCTTGTAGATGATGGAGGGGGCTTTGGGGAGACTTTGGTGAATAACTTATTGCAGAATTCCTAGCCTTTGATCGGTTCTTCGAGCCATGGTATTTATAGATTCTGGTCAATGGTAACTATCAGGGTACTGATAATGAGGAGTTGTAATGATAATAGCATTGAATTCAAGGGACAATAGTTACATTCTGTTGTTGGAAATGACCATTACCTTGCATTTGTGTGATGCAAATGTTACTTGCTATTTATCAGTCCATACTTGGATGTTGCCAGGTCATACTGCATTTGAACATGGACTGCCTCAGTATCCGAGGAGTGGTGAATCATGCTAAACATTACGCAGTCATCAGCAAACACCTCCACTTCTGATCTTAGGTTGGGCCTACCCTGAAGAACTCTTGCAATGATGTCCTGAGACTGGAATGACTGACTTTTAACAATCACAACTGTCTTCCTTCGTGCATTCAGTGGATGCTAAACTCAGTCAAATGCTGCCTTGTTATCAAGGGCAGTCACTCTCACCTCACCTCTAATGTTTAGCTCTTTTGTCCATGTATGAAACAAAGCGCTAATGGGGTCAGCAGCTCTTTGGTCACGATGAAAACTGAGCATCAGTGAATTGGGGTGTTTACTCCTTTGCAAATGCTGCTTTATTGCACTGTCGATGACTTCTTCCATCAGTAGGCTGATGATCAAGAATAGGCTTAGTGTAGTATTTGACTGGATGGATTGTCCTGCTTTTTGTGGACTAAACATACTTGGGCAATCGTCCACTTTACTGGGTAGATGCCAGTGCTGTAGTTATTCAGAACAGCTTAGTTATCTGCATAGCTAATCCCGGATTTTCAAGTTTCCAATTCCATTTCCAGCCTTTCTGGATCAGTGATAGGGACACTGCCATACACAAGAGCCCTTTGACAGGTACCCAATACAAACAAAAAGAAAGTTGGCAATTTAGATTTTATTATAAAGGCTGTATTTAACCATATTGTAGTTCAATTGAAAGGTTACTCTCCCAAAGCATTACAACTTTATTTTGTTCACTTGTGGGTTGTGGGTGCCGCTGGCTCAGCCAGCATTTGATGCCATTTTTAGTTGCCCTCGAGAAGTTTGTGTGGGCTGCCTCTTGAATCTCTGTTGTCCATGTGTTGTAGGTAGACCCACAATGCCCTTAAAGGAGGGAATTCCAGGATTTTAACCCAGCGACATTGAAGGAACAGTGATTTTCTTCCAATTCAGGATGGTGAGGGGTTTGGACAGGACCTTGTAGTTACTGGCATTCTCATGTACCTGCTGCCCTTGTCCTTTGAGATGGGTGTGGTCATCAGTTAGGAAAGGTGTTGCCTAAAATCGTCTTGGCAATTTTCTACAACCAACATGTGGATAGTACACACTGCTGCTGCTGAGCTTTGGTGGTGGAGTGACTGAATGTTTATTGATGGGGTACCAATCAAGTGAGCTCTTTTGTCCTTGATGGTGTCAAGCTTCTTGAGCATTGCTGTTACTGGACCCATGCAGGCCACTCATCATAGTCCTGACTTTTGCCTTCCAGATGGTGGACAGATTCTAGGGAGTTAAGAGGAGAGTTACTCTCTGCAGTATTCCTAAGTTCTGACCTGCCCTTGTTTCTTCACATATGCTGCTAGATTTATTGATAATTCCTAGGCTTTTTTGTTTATTTTAAACTTTATCTTGGCTGGCCATGTTTTTCAGACAAACTTCACAGTTAAAGGAAAGTGAGGTCTGTGAAATCGTTGCACTACCTGTTGGGAATCTGTTAGGCAACAAATCTAACGAATTTGAGTCCTTCATCTCTTCAGGCCTCTTTTTCTGCTGAAGCAGCATCAAGACAGACTATTCACAGCTTCATTTTGTTCTGACTTCTCTAGTACCCCAGAGAGCAAAGGCAGTGAGTTAATCTGGCTTTGTATAACTGAGTAACACCAGAACCTGTTTAGGTACTGGAGCCTAATACAGTGATTACATTGACACTAATCTGAAATATCAAGATATGGTCTATATAAATGTAAAAGCCCTTTGCAAATTCAGCAAAGAATTTACATCTTCCATCTCTTCTGTGACAGGCTGTTCAAGGTTTACTGAATATGCCAAAGAGAAACACACAAAGTCAGAATGGAATTTAAGGGTAGTGGAAGACTGAATCTGTGCTAATTGTACAAAGTTGTTATCCATGAACATTCTTATTGAATTCTATAATCCCTAGAGTGTGGAAACAGGCCATTTGGCTCAACAAGTTCACACTGATCCTCCGAAAAGCATCCCACCCAGATTCATTCCTGTCCCTGTAACCCTGCATTTCCTACAGCCAATCCACCTAACTTGCACATCTTTGGACTGTGAGAGAAACCAGAGCACCCAGAGGAAACCCACACAGACGTGGGGAAAACGTGCAATCTCCACACAGACAGTCACCCGAGGGTGGAATCAAACCCTGGTCCCTGGTGCTGTGAGGTACCAGTGCTAATCACTGAGCCACTGCGCTGCCCTCTAGATAATAGCTTGCACTCAACTTACTGTGGCATAACCTGCTGACTTTGGCTTCTACCATAGTCAATCCTCAGTCCAGGAGTTGAATATCCTATTTATGGAGGAGTTTGGGGTGGCAGGAGAAGAGTTCTCTGAATAGGGATCCCCATATACATTCACAACTGCTATTTTCTTTCCCTCCTTGACAAAGTGCATCACCTTGCAACGCAAAGACAACAGTAAAGGTAAGTGCGGCATACAGTTCATCACTGGGTGTATGACAGCAATAGAAACGGAGGGTGTCTGCAGGTAACTGCTTGATCTAGCATCTTTGAAAATGGTTCTTTTAATCAATTACTGTGAGATTAAAGAGCTTTGTATGTATATAAGCTATAAATGATAGAAGTGGTGTAAAGCCCATTTTTGGCTGAAGTGTCAGTTGCACAATTGAAGTTTTAAGGTGGTTTGTTGGTGCCAAGAAAGAAGTCTACAGTGTATTAAATAACATATTTAGTCAGCTCTGGATATATGTTATTGAAACATCTTTCTGCACTGTTCACAGGCACTGGGAGTTACAGAGATGACACTCACTGCCACTGTTACCTCTTAGCAAATTCTTTCCATTACAATTCAATCCGACTGACTTTCCTGGTCCCCAAGATCCAGTCTTATCTGGTCATTTTAAATAGTAGTTGTGCAAGACTCTAGCTAAAACTTTACAGGCAAATCTTCCTAGAAACCTAGGTTTCTCCTAGTCCCCTCCTTGGTGGATAACATGTTGAAAAATGGAAATTTTCTTGAAACACACTATTTACTTAAAGAAAGAGATAATCAGTCTAACAATTGCACCGAACATCCAAGTCTCATTTTGAAAAATGATGTAAGATCTACCCTTTTTAAGAGTGTACTGTCAGAGTTTCCTTGGGCCCCTACTGATGCTGCTAATCATTTGACACGGACTTTATATTTCAGAATAAGCAAATTATCCTCATGAGAAATTTGGGTGCAGAGTCCCAAGTGGCAACATTGGCATAGAAAGCAATGTAAATTCAATCTAAGTAGGATCAAGAAATTTCAGGCCAATGGCTTTTGATGAATTTTCAATAATGAGGCACTCAAATGTATATCAGTACGCTGATGGTGGTGATCCAATGTTTTTGCTGAAGTTCATTACTAATACTTCATCCTTGCAACCTACATCCTCATTGCGAAATTCAACAGGCATTGGCATTCATGACTTCACCAAAAATGCTGAGTGCAGTTGGATAATGTTGCATTTAAATCCAAGAGTTTTTCTATTAATTATCTTTCCATTCAGTGTTTACTCCCAGACCTTACTTTTCCTCCAAAAAGGTATTATCTCAGATAAAGATAACACAGTATGGAGCTGGAGGAACACAGCAGGCCAGGCAGCATCAGAGGAGCAGGAAAGTTGACTTCAGGACCCTGCTTCAGAAAATCTCAGACAAATCCTTAATTAAATATTAAATTCAGCTGTAATACGTTTGCTAACCCAATAGTCTCTCCAGCTCTTCTGAGTATTTTTCAGTTTCCCACAGTCCACACCTTTACGTCCAGTGCATCATTCTAAAAAGCAGTATCCTCGTTGTTGCACTAGCAAACCACATCAAAAAATGCTTAGCACTTACTTTTCTCTTGCCTGTTGCATACATGTTTCACTGCAAAATTTACTCCTGTGACCAAACTCCTCAGTTGTCCCATAATGACCGCAATTTTCACAGCAAAGGATTCCATCCATACTGGGTGGCTCCTCTGGGTATGTTGGGATGGGATTTCTAGACAGGGCTAAACAGCAAATATACACAGTATATTAATTTTGGAGACACACCACATTGTTACAATAGTACACTAAAAATTCTACAAACTAACATATGCAGGATTTAATTACAGGCATTATTTACTTCTAAAAATTGACTTTTGTTTTGCAAAACTAAAATCAATATATCTGGATTTTAAGATAGTTACATATGAGTAAATGCATGCTTACCTTTCTAACCATACAGATCTGGCAAATGTCAGATTCAATTCCAGAAAAGGACAGTTCAATTAAATGTCATTCATTAGATGTTGTCCATCGATGAGCACTATTGTATATTCATTGTATGTCCCTAAATGCCTTTGAGATGGTGACGGTAAGTTGCCTTTGTACTTGACCTCCTCAGTCATTTCAGGGGATGTTAAAATTATTGTTTGTTTGAATATACACAGAGCAGACTGATAACAGTATTCCCAACGGCTCTTTTGCATATGTTAATCTGTATTTTTCATTCAATATGCCTCCTTCCCTGGACACTTTTGTCTAGCAAGGAGGCAAGAATGGAGTCAAGAATGGCAAAATCTTATAATTTTTGCAGTGATTTCAAATTTGCAAAATTCCCACCCTCTTTAAGCATGTGGGTCTTTTTCTAAGTTGGAAAGGCACTGGATCACAATCCCACACACTTCTCTTCCAAGTTTGAGGTCACCACTGACAGCCCAAAAGAAAACTTGAATTTACTCTCCAGCTATTTTTGTGCACTATTGTGGGTTCTGAAAGCCCTTAGAAAACCTGCCTCATTGGCAAGTTAATGACCATTGGCGAAATCCTCTCAGGAGCCAAGAGCCTTCTGACAGGCAAGTTGTTAGAAGTTTTGCTAACTTCAAAAGTCAATATTAGATGCTGTATTGTAACTCAGATGTTTTAACTGAAGTGATTCATCATAGCCTCTGTCCTGAAAAGCTAATGTGACCACTACATTGACCACCATTGCTTAAAACATTGTGATGCATCACAACCCTACTGGATAGGTGCTCCTGTGCATTCAAATCTAAATGATACATTGTTTAGGACTGATAGCATAATAATCTGAAATGATATAGATGTCAGAGCCCTTTTAAATTGAAGAAAAAAAAATTCAACTGTTTCCATTAGAGAGACAAACCTGCCACCTGCTCCTAGACAGTTGTGATAGGACATTTGATATAGTTTAAGTGGGCGGAGAGAAACGGGTTGTAGTTCCTACAGATGGTCCTCAAGTTGCAAACAGGGAGTCCACTCATAAGTCAATTTGTATGCAAGTCGGAACACGATGCTGGACAATATAAAGCAGCCCCTTTGCAAGTACAGGAAGTGTTTGTACGTCAAATATTGAAAATTAACCCCGGTATGGGATTGCATTCATAAGTACAAACTTTTGTACTGCAGAAATCCACCCACATATTATTATCAGTTTAGAAAAACAGAAATATTTTCAAATGTGATCCATGTATGCCCAACAAAATAACTATGGGAGTCATCCCATAGTTCTACTGACCTTCTTGCGCTGTGGGCACATTCCATGTTGTTGTTGCAGTCGCCTTCTTTATCTTTTCTACTTCTGTTTCATCTGTGATGATCTCTAAAGCATCAAACTCATTTACCCTGAACTGAATACAACAAAAACCTTAAGAATGAGATTATTCCGTACTGTTTATACCATTCACAAAATGTGTTATTTTGAATTCAGAAAAATAAATATGCTGTGCTTCGCGAAATTAACGCATCTGTGACAACTAACAATAGCACACAACAGCAGTAGATATAAATGAAGTAAGAAAATTACAAGTCAGAGGCTCACATAATCTATCTACAGAATATAATTACACGAGTTGCATTGTTGTGTGACCCTGCTCTATAGAAAATCGCCTTTGAAAACTGTGTTAAAGGGAAACAGCTATAGAAAATCACTATACCTATACAGGAGAAAGTTTGCATTATACAAACAGTGTCCACTATTCATCAATCACATTACAGCCAATTTGCTTTAAGGAAACACGCGTTATAGCAGAACTACCTGTACACATTTTATAGTAAACATAAACTAAAATTTGATGTTAATTGTTCGAACACGACCTTTAAATTGCTCCCTGGAAGAGTTGCTATTCCATCCTTCCAGTCCATTGCACTGAAAACATCAAAGTCCTGGTTATCAGCAGCAGAGCCACAGTCACTCACAATGCTTTTCTCCATTGCTGAACTTATTGTGAACACAGCAAGGAACCTATGGAAGAAAAAGAATAGCTTTGGATGACATCCAATTATGATGTAGAGCAGAAATTATATGCCCAGATAGAGCATTTCAACAAAATTTTACTTCACCGATTCTGATAATTTATCACATCCTTCAGCCTCAAATCTAGCTACTTTAGGAATTAGAGCAGAATAATTCAGACAGCGGAGAATCCAGATCTTCCCAGGGTGAAGCCGAAGAGATTTAAATCTCCAGTCCCAACTAGTCAGTCAATCTTCTGACTGAAGTAGATGGATTGCATGAGCTAATGTGGTTAATTTTGGGTAGGAGAAGGCCACTGTCAGAAATTCAAAGGAGTAGCTCCTGGAATTCATGCAAATGATTGGGAAGGAAGTCTGGCAGTTTCTTCTGATAGCAAGCTGACCTGGCAATGAAACCATACAGGATAATTCAAAGCTTTCACTTCAGCAGTTCAAGACTAAAAAGAGGGAAGCAAGCAAGCAGTAGGCTTGATGTGAATTTCTTTAGGTTGAATCCCATTGTTTTAGAAATAGTAGGAGGGCTTATGATCCTGATGGTGCAATATGTATGTTCTGAGAATGGTAGAGTGCGAATCTAGAGAGCACTGCATACACAAGTGTCTGTGCATGGTCACAAGTAACTCCTTCATGTTCAGCCCTATTTTGTGATCCATAAAGGCATAGTAATATGGGTACTATTCACTGGCCAAGAGTTCCATTTACGATTCCCTGAATGAAAGCAAATTTTACAACGTGATAGTGATCTACAGTAGTTACATTTCTTTATGATGAATCAGCAAAGTTGATTGACTCCAATAGAGAACAGTGCTACATTAACCCTCTATGTAGATATACTTGTAGAGGCAGGAATGTAGATATGGGCAATTCTTTGTGAACATTTGGAAGGTTTGCAAAATGTAGAAATTAATGAAGTGGTTTGAACTGATTGGTCTGTGACAACAGACACAGCCTCTACAACCGAAACCGCTTTCTTCAGACATATTGAAGTACCAGCAATTCACTTCATAGACACAGCTTTGAACATAATTGTGGTACAACATTGTCTGCTGGTAACTCTGCTTGCCCAACTTTTCCCTCCCTGAAACGCAAGTACAGTAGCATTGTTATGCAAAACTCTCAATAGGTGATTACAAATACAAACTAAATAATAGCTTCTGACATCTTTGCATGGAGGTAAACGAACGAAAATCAGCTTTTCCAAAATCTCTTACAGCATTACGTTCTCTTGTTCTATTCCAGAGGCAATCAAAGCTCAAAGTTAGGCTGCAGACTCCTTTAACTGTTCGATAATGTTGACCTTATTTTCAAACTAAATTGTAACGACAAACTCAGAACTGCACATTGTTCCCTTGGCAGTTCCTCATCATATTTGCATCTCCAAATACATGTAAATCCTGTCCCTCAGGATTCCTTCCAACAACTCGCCCACCACTGATATCAGGCTCACAGGTCTCTAGTTCCCTGGGCTTTTCCTTACTACCTTTCTTAAATAGCGGCACCACATTAGCAAACCTCCAGTCTTCCGGCACCTCGCCTGTGGCTATCGAGAATACAAATATCTCAGTAAGGGGCCCAGTCATCACTTTCCTAGCTTCCCACGGAGTTCTAGGTAGACCTGATCAGGTCCCATGGATTTTTCTAACTTTATGCGTTTTAAGACATCCAGCAGTACCTCCTCTGTGGTATGGACATTTTTCAAGATGTCACTATTTATTTCCCTATGTTCTCTATTTTCCATATTCTTCTCCACAGTAAACACAGATGCAAAACACTCATTTAGTATCTTCCCCATCTCCTGCGGTTCCACATATAGGTGGCCTTATTGATCTTTAAGGGGCCCTACTCTCTCCCTAGTTAGCCTTTTGTCATGAATGTATTTGTAGAATCCCTTTGGATTCTCCTTAACCCGATTTGCCAAAGCTATCTCATGACCACTTTTTTCCCCTCCTGATTTCCTTCTTAAGTAAACTCCTACTGCCTTAATGCTCTTCTAGGGATTTCTTCGATTTCTGCAGACTATACCTGACATATGCTTCCTTCTTATTCTTGATCAAAATCTCAATTTTCCTAGTCATCCAGCATTCCCTACACCCCAGCAGGAATATACTGTCTCTGGACTCTCGTTATCTCATTTTTGAAGGCTTCCCATTTTCCAGTTGTCCCTTTACCTGCAAACATCCGCATCTGAAAGTTGAGTGGACAGAGAAGCAGCTCACCTCAGTACAACAGGACCTTGATCAGATGGGCAGATGGCTGTGCAGTGCCAGATGGAGTTTAATTTAGATAAATATGAGGTGCTGCGTTTTGGAAAGGCAAATCAGGGCAGAACACATACACTTAACGGTAGGGTCCTGGGGAGTGTTGCTGAACAAAGAGACCTGGAGGTGCAGGTTCATTGTTCCTTGAATGTGCAGTCACAGGTAGACAAGATAGTGAAGAAGGCATTTGGTGTGCTTGCCTTTATTGGTCATTGCATTGAGTATAGGAGTCGGAAGGTCATGTTGTGGCTGTACAGGACATTGGTTAGGCCACTTTTGGAATACTGCATGCAATTCTGGTCTCCCTGCTATAGGAAGGATGTTGTGAAACTTGAAAGGGTTCAGACAAGATTTACAAGGATGTTACTAAGGTTGGAGGGTTTGATCTATAAGGAGAGGCTGAATAAAGTGGGGCTATTTTCTCTACAGCATTGGAAGCTGAGGGGTGCCTTATTGAGGTTTATAAAACCATGAGGGGCATGGATTGGGTAAATAGAAAAGTCTTTTCTTCAGGTTGGGATGAGTCCAAAACTAGAGCGTGTAGGTTTAAGGTGAGAGGAGAAAGATTTAAAAGGGACCTAAGAGGCAATTTTTTCACACAGAGGGTGGTGCATTTATGGAATGAGCTGCCAGAGGAAGTGGTGGAGGCTGGTACAATTACAACACTTAAAAGGCATCTGGATGGGTTTATGAATAGGAAGGGTTTAGAGGGATATGGGCCAAATGCTTGCAAATGGGACTAGATTTATTTAGGATAAGTAGTTGGCATGGACGAGTTGGACCGAAGCGTCTGTTTTCATGCTGTATATCCCCATGACCCCATCTCAGCTATGATGCCCTACTGAAATTGTAATGAGAAATGGAAATTGCTAGAAACACTCAACAAGCGTGGAACAATCAATTACAGTCAGAGTCATACAGCATGGAAACAGACCCTTCGGTCCAACCAGCCTATGCTCATAATCCCAAACTAAACTAGTACCACCTACCTGCTCCTGGCCCATACCCCTCCAAACCTTTCCTATTCATGTACTTATTCAAATGTCTTTGAAACGCTGTAAGCATACACACATCCACCACTTCCTCAGGGAGTTCATTCCACACACAAACCACCCTCTGTGTAAAAAATTTGCCCCTCCTGTGTCTTTTTTAAAATCTCTCTCCTCTCACCTTAAAAAAGTGCCCCCTCCTCTTGAAATCCCTCACCCTAGGGAAAAAAAGAACTACCATTATAAAATAATGAGGGGTATAGATAGAGTTAAATTTCCATCAGGTCACCTCTCAACCTCCTCCTCTCCAGTGAAAAAGTCCTAGCCTATCATTATAACTCAAACCTTCCACACCCAGCAGGATCCTGGTAAATTTCTTCTGAACCCACTTCAGCATGATAATATCCTTCCTATAAGTGGGCTACCAGAACCAGACACAGTATTCCAGAACAGGCCTCACCAATGTCCTGTACAACCTCAGCATGACTTCCCAATCCTATACCCAAAGGACTGAGCAATGAAGGCAAGTGTGCCAAATGCCTTTTTAACAACCCTAACGACAATCTGTGACATAAACGTCAAAGAATTATGTACCTGAGCCCCTAAGTCCCTCTGTTCTCCAACACTACCCAAGACCCTATCCTTATTTGCTGTACCAAAATGCAATACCTTGCATTTATCATGTATGACCCTTTACCCTAATCACTTAAGAAAAGGTTTCAAGTGATTGAGAGTTATAATGTGAAATTAATGTAAATAAATAGAATGGCAAATTCTTCCAGAATCTAGATTCTGCCATCTTCCTTGGGTTAAAAAAAACTCACTCTTCAAGGTCCAGCAGATACTCTGGCTGTTGAGATTCACATATAAATATTTAACACACACACACTACACTTGATTGTGTGCTTGTTTTGTATTAGTGGCTTTGACTTTAAGTAAATTAACACCGGTGACTAAATATAAATATAAGAAAGTACATGCATTAAATATTCATTCATGAATGACTGATAGGAATATCTACCCTACGACAAAGCTGTGATGCAGTTATATAGCATGAGGAAGCCTATCCAAGTGAGAATTCTTCCTTGTGTCAGTCTGGTGATAGATTGACAATAATTAAATCAACCATATGAACAAGTAAGGGGCCACATTTGAGTCCAATTCTGTCCTCAAAGCACGCATGACGGATACATCTAGCAGCGGGTGTCGAAAGTGACCAATCATCATTCGCTGTCTTAGCCAAAAACTTTTATAACCTATTGATGCTGAAGTCAATTGCCCCATCTTGCTACTATTACAGTTAAAAAAAAAGAGCCATCTCAGTTCAGGCAAAGAATGATATTCAAATGTTGTTGACTTGTATTTCAAAGCTACTCACTTCCACAGCTAGTAAAGACAGCAAGCCAACTATTAACTAATTACACACCAATTTGTTTCAAAGTATTATACTTGCTAATACCAATGTTATCTGATATGTTAGAAAATACAACAACCAGTCATTGTCAGGTTCATTCTTAAGCATAAATGAAATATGCTTTTAAATACTGACTGCACCTGACTCAGAAGCCAGAGACTCAGATTAATGTTTTGAAGTTTGGGTTAAAATCCAGGAACTCTCTTCCTAACAGCATCATGGGTGTGTCTATCCCTCATGAGTGTCACAGAAGGCAGCTCACCACCTTCTCAAAAGACAATAAAGGATTGGGCAATAAGTGCTGTTCTTCCCAGCAATGCCCACATCC